CTTGGGCCTTTGTTCCCAAGGTATCACATTTTAGTCAGTTTTCTAATGGACTATGGGTATTTCCAACAAAATCAAGGTTTCGAATTTTGACTTGAAACTTTACACAGTTGAAGGCCTTGGTTAGAGTAACTCATAGAAAAGTTTTCATAATTGTCAGACATTGCATCTTCAAGATATGAATTTTTCAAAATACCAGGCCTTTCGCAATTCTATTGTAAAGTGCCTTTATTCTAAAAGCCTTCAATGTGAAGTTGCAAGTCGAAATTCGAAAACTTGATTTTGTTGGAAATACCCATAGTCCATTAGAAAACTGACTAAAAATGTGATACCTTGGGAACAAAGGCCCAAGAACTCAAATCCTTCTAGGCTTCTTCTAGTCTCACTAAGGCCTATCTACAGGCAAAAAATGATTGAAATCGGAGGGGGCATCTGGGGAAGTTCCCTCCTAAGTCAATTTGGTGTGTCTAACACTGGACAGTGTCGACTAATCGTTCGGAGAATGACCACAGAACCTACAACAACAACAAATTTTTTTCGAACAAAGACTATTATTGTAAAAGAAGACGATTGGGCAAAATGCTTATTTGAATGATGTGAAAGTGATATTTGTGATCAACGTGGAAAGCTGTACTAAGTTCATCTGGCTTTATCAAAATGTTAAAGAAAATGTTTTCTTCAAAACTTGGCGACTGCCTCATGCGTCAAAAATCTAATATCAAAACTTCGTGAAATATATTTCAGACACTTACTCTGACATATTTATATAGAAAAAACTCGAATCCATTGGAGGCAAAAATGACCTTAACGTCAACAAAATCCTATAAAATACCGTTCCCAAACCACATGATGACATCCAATCTCAAATAATAGCAGTCGATAGCCAACACATTTCTCTTCAAACTACGCAAGGCTCAGGTCTTAATCTCCTTTGGTTCTGGAGATACAGACGTTTTCCGAGGACCCCCTCCGCTCCGGTTTTCATCCCAGGCAGTATAGGATCGTTTACGCTGAAATACGTCAAAATACGACGGTCATATACGTGTATGGATAAGATACCATCTAAACGATGAAGTTACGATAGTCGTATACGATCGTTTGTGATAACTTAAATTCTGGAGAAAAGCAAAAGAATGTGAATGAGAAAACGTATACAGCCGTATACGACTATCGTAACTTCATCATATTTCATCGTATTCCTACATGTATACAACTGGCGTTAATGGTCGTATATGGGCGCATTTTATTTGCTGAACAGAAAATGACGCTAGTACGTACTAGTTCCACATTTTCCAGTCACCGTTTTGTTATCTACAATTGATTCCACTATGTTTTACTCCGACTTTTCTTCGAGAACATAGTGCAATCAAGTTTTAATGCGTTCGTCGAACAGACAATGCTTTTCACATGTTATAATCACTAAAAGGAAAAATAAGTGGGAATAGAGAGTCAGGTAGTAACTTCAGAGGATGTACACAGCAAATTCAGCTCTCTGTTCCCATATCTAAATAGGTCTCATTTTCGCTAGTTTAATAAAGTGTCTTATATAACAGACACTGTTTTTCGTCTCGTTTGAAATAAGAAAAAACCTTGGCATCGTCAGTCAAACACTTGGCGGGAGTGTATATATATACATTTATATCACATGGAGCAATCTATTCTTTGGGTGTAATCTATCCTTTTCTAACATTTTCTTCAACCGAAGAAACATACCTCCTATAAACGTATAAATATACATATACATACTCCCGGCACATGTATGATTGACGATACGAACGGTTCTTTCTCATTTTAAACGAGACAAAACCAGTGCCTGTTATATAAGGCACTTTATTTCTGAAAGTAGAGCACTTTTATACTCGAACTTTTTGCAGTTTATATCTGCTTTTTGACCCTTTTTAAAGTAGAAGTAAATCATACAAAATAACCAATTTACAGAGTAAGTACACAGCAGTTGCAGTGAGTGAGAGAATAGCGATATATAAAATTCTTTCTATTTTACTGTCGTACAGGTGCAATTTTTCTTCATTCATTTTGGGTAAGCTGTTTTTCATTCTTTTTGAGGGACAGGGAAACAAAGAGCTGAATTTGCTGTGTACATCCTCTGAAGTTACTACCTGACTCTCTATTCATACTTATTTTTCCTTTTAGAGATTATAACATGTCAAAAGCACTGTCTGCTCGACGAACGCATTAAAACTTGATTGCACTATGTTCTCGAAGAAAAGTCGGAGTAAAACATAGTGGAATCAATTGTAGATAACAAAACGGTGACTGGAAAATGTGGAACTAGTGCGTTGATGCTGGCTCAAAATTAGCACTATAAAAAATGACCGTCTATGACGTCGTATTTTGACGTATCCCATCGTAAACGGTCGCATTAATTCCAGACAAAATACGACGTCGTAATCCTTCTCCATGGTAGACGTCATCGTATTTCGTCGTAAACACTGTCGTATTTTGAGGTATACTACAACATCCATCATTGTAATAAACTGTAGTATCATTCATCGTAAACTGTAGTATACGGCCGTTTACGGCTGTCGTAATTATCGTCCTGGGCCGATCTCAATGCAGACACGTCTGAGAATCTCAGAAACATGAGGACCATAGGTAATCGACCACACCGATGTTTGTGAAGATGTTCGTTTCGTGTCCTCGCCAACAACACCTCTAGAAAATCTAATTTGGTGAAAACGCCGTTTTTCGTCTGTTACCGTCAAATATAGTAGAATGTAGATCGAGTAGAAAAGATCTGGTGTGAACTTTGGCTCGGTTGGAGGTTTTCCATTCATGAATAAGAAAGTATATCTCCCGAGGAATAATCCCCAACTGTCTAATGGCTTTTGACGTAAAAAGTAGTGGACCATGTGTAAGCGATGGTCCTGAATCCGAATCTGACCTTGGTTTTTCCTGCCAGGGCTTGCAAATACCGGTTCCTGGAAAACCAGTTTTCCAGAAAGTCTAAAAGAATAACCAAAACGTTTCTTGATGTTGCATGATTGTAGCCCGTAGATGTCTGATTAAAATGAGACATCTCCCAGGTCTACACGACCTTTCTTTGCAAACATATAGAATTTACAAGAAAAGCCCTAAATTGATTTCGTCTTATTTCTATAGCTGTGAGCTGACAATGAACATTTGGGGCTTTGGTTGTAAATTCTATAACTTTGCCAAGAGAGGTCCATTACTAAACGTAGCCGTTATATGAGACTCACTCTCCTTCTTCTTCATCTAAAAAATATCAGTCTATTATCTAAACTCTTGTATAAATATTAGCATGTTTTGTATGGTAGTACTATATCTATTTCATTCTATTAAAATGATATTATGTAATATCGCTCTTCATCGGTTTTTGTAAGCAGTTGTTGTTTTAGATGATGCAAAATGATATCATTAATTAAATGGAAGTTAAGTAAATATTCATATTTCCTTATTGATTACAAAAGAAAAACTAGACATATGTTTTCTGTCGATTAATTTACGACTTTTTTATTATTATTTTAGGTAACGAAGCTGTTACTCAGATGAATGGAAGTCAAAACTAGTTTCATCGTTAGGTAGAAGAGCCAAAGAGGGAACAACGGATTCTTCCAAAGATGTCAAAATATCAATACCCAGTGTATTCTCAAAAAACGAGCATTTTCTGAAAACTTGCTGAGCATGGTGTATTCTTACCAAAACACGTACCTGCATCGTTTTTTCTGGGAGGAGCGGACACTGTTGCCTGAAAGTGAGCTACGAAACTACATTGCTAGTTAAGAATGCGCTAAATCCAGCAAACAAATGGGTTTTAGAAATACGTAAGAATAACAGTGTGTTCTCAGGACCAAACCCGGCAAGCCCAGCACGTTCTATGAAAATAGCCGCTTTTTGAGAATACCCTTCGTGTCGATATTCTAACACTCCTCTAATTTGGGGATGAAATTCCAGGATGAAAAAGTCCCAGATGGAATAGTTATTGAATAGCTTTAGAAATTGCTATATATTATAGTTGTGTTCATTTTCTAGATAACAATAATAGTGTTTCATAATAATTAAATGTCAGAATACGTCACAAACTTTTCTGTAAGTTGATAAAAATACTAGACTGAGTCAGTTATCATGGATCTCTTTCCCTTTTAGATACCAGATGATAACGGAGGATTTGATGTTTTCGAAGACAACACTTCGTTTGAGTCAAAGTATCTATGCCAATACTGTAAGAAGCTAATTAAAGATCCGAAACAACTTTACTGTGGAGATCGTGCATGCTCCTCTTGTCTAAACGCAACGAGCGGGTATTTACCATTTTCACGACGATTTCAGGAAAAGATTCACTCATTTTCTCTAAATTATGTTCTAGATCAAACAGTACGGTTCAATGCACTTTGTGTGGAGAAACATCCACAACACAGCAGGTATCGCGTAAAAAATAGCTAAAGCAAATAAAATTTAAAATTTCTAATTTTATTTGTTTCTGTTCCATTCTAGCTTGTCAGTGATCGAGGTTTTAAAAGAGAACTAGATCAGCTAAGAGTCACTTGCATAGAAAAACAGAATAACTGCGAATGGGTTGGATATCTTAAAGATTATCAGGTACAAATTCTTTATTTTTGATGTTCAAAATATATTAAAGCTGGCAGGAATTTGCTCACTATTGGTAATCTGTCGTTCTCTCCCTTTCAGAAGCATTTAGACAAATCACATTCAAACAATATTTGTCAATATTGTAGAAAAATCTATTTTACACTAAGCTCGCTGCAGAAACATATAAAAGATGCTTGTATAAAAGCTCCAGTAGCCTGTCCACTACATGACGAATATGGATGTTCTGATCATGTAAGTTTCCACTTTGTGTCTTTTCCCTAAGATTATATTTCGCACTTCTAAATTGAATAATGTAGATAGTACGAGAAGAGTTCAAAAACCATTTGTTGACTAAACAACATCAAGCAGCCATAGTGTCCTGCATTGTAAAGATAACATCAAATATACAGAGACATCCTGAATTAACATCGAAGATGACGGCAGACCAATCAATGGAAGATGAACTCGCTCAGCGAATTAATTTAAGTGAAGAAATGAAAAAATGTACCGAAGCACTTTCGATCCTCGATCAGGGCGTTAAAACATTGATGAGTGATAATGTACGAATAGCATCCGAATTTCAGAGAAATGAACATAGTATTCAATCAATGTCCGGCGATATTCAGCAGCTAAAACTATCGATCGACGAAAAAGAGTCATTTTTAGCCAAGATTGCACCAGACCAACAAATAATTCAAGAAAACCTAACAAAAATTAAAGAATATATTCTAACTACCGAGTACACTTCTTATGATGGTACGCTCACTTGGAGAATACCAGATGTGAGCGATAAAATGGCAGATGCACAGAGTGAACGGCAAACTAGTATTTATTCTCCACCATTCTATTCCTCATCGACAGGATATAAGATGCGAGCACGACTCTATTTGCATGGAGATGGGAATGCGAGAAGAACACACATGAGTCTATTTTTTGTATTGATGAAAGGAAAGTACGATGCAGTACTGAAGTTTCCTTTTAATTATAAGGTCACTTTTGTCCTTTATGATCAATCCGGTCAAAACCGTCACGTAATCGATTCCTTTCGGCCAGATACAAAATCAAACTCATTTCAACGACCACAATCAGATATGAACATCGCAAGCGGCATACCTAAGTTCTTCCCCCTACCAATGATTCAGCAAGACAACAATAATTATGTAAAAGATGACACAATGTTTATAAAAATTCTTGTTGATTTTGCTGATCTTCCGAAAATGATGTTACCTTTTGCGATCGGTTTAAATCCGGGTCTTCCACTACATGTTCAACAACACTTAATAAGACAAGAACTGGGCAAAAGAACGCAAGCTGGTGCCAGCATAGTTTCTTTTCCCGCTGCGGCTGCATCAAATACTACCAACTGTGCTTAACTAGTAAATTACTGCGATGTTTTCTTCGTCATGAATATTGTTATTTAAAATATAATCTACGGCAATATAATAGTGTTTCATCTTCGTAACTTAGTTAATAACCTTATTTTAAACGAAGCTGCAAAAACGCCTCAAAATTAAGTTTCGTTATTTTGACAGATATGAAAATGCGGAGTCTGCGGAGGACACTTTTTGCTTCTTAGCGGCGGACGAAACCGGAGACGCTGAACGGAAGTCTTTTCGGTTCACTTGAAAAATATGCTTGTTTAGGACATCTTACTTGCACACTGCAGTTTCCTCAAATGGAAGCTAAAGCTCTAATACTAACAGATGTATATTGTAAAGGTTATTTCTATCCTATTTAATTTGTTCTTCTGTCTTCGTATTACGTGATCTGTATATAAGGTATCCTAATTATTTGATCTTTTTCTTTTATGGATTTTCTTTCTCTCATTCTGTTCTCAGGAGGATCAATGAAGTGCCGGCGAAAAACTTTGTCAATAGTTGACGGTGGACAAGGCGGTGACGGCGCAGAAAGCTTACCCGGACAGTCCTCGCGGGAAGAATTTTTAAAAGCTTGACGAGGTACTGGGCGAGTCAAATAAGAAATGCACAGTAACTCAGTAATTTTATTGTAAGCTTATGCTTCAAATATCTACTATTTAGAAAAAATCTATTTCGTTATGCATTTTGAAAGATTCTAGATATACATTTAACTAAAGTGTGAATAGCTACGAGGCTGACGAGCGACCCTCTCCAGGTGTTCAACTCCGTCTGAGCTCATATTTTAGGGTACGTGAGTATAACAAAAAGCCTAAAATGCTGTAAAGTTGTATCTCATAAGGGAGTTTTTCTGCCTAATTACTTTGTCAGTTACGAGTTAAGCTAGAGAAGTACACCGCCATAGTTCTCTGTTGACAGAATAATAAGTTCTTATTAAATCGACGATACATGTGTGAAGACGTAGATTGGATAGCATCGCTCGTTCCAGATCCAATTTGAATGAAAATACCTAATGTGGGTATACGTCTGTACATGCTTACTGTTCAAATTCGTTTTTAACAATCAATTTTTTATATTCGTTACGAGCAAATACTACTTTTACCATCAAGAGAAATATTTTCCGGTAATTTTGATAATTACAGTTACTGTTTTTGTTTTATAATGTTTCATGAGGACACCCGCTGCCTTATCGGTGATCAATTCATGTCCCCCGCAAAACACCCGTTAATTTCTGTAGCAATGGAGGTGAAAGATTTTGAATCATAATTGAGAAAATGGTATAGATTGCATTCATTGTCCTAGTAATGAATGGTAATTAAACGGACCAAAGATGATTTTTTTTCTCTGTTTTCCATAGGGTACCCGCACTGGCTTGCAAACTACAGTAGAAATAATTTTATTTTTCGTTATCAAGTTTGTTTTGACATTGATAGGTTGACAAAAGCATTTATTATCTCTAGGACTGCTTTTAAGTGTTTGCGCTATTACATTACACGATTAGATTTTTTTCATCTGCAGTTCGCAAGGTAGTGATACCCTATGAAAAACAGAAAATTCGATTTCTCACGAAGGACAGAAGACTAAGATCGGAAATTTTTGCATTATACGGGCTTTGTTTAGGACTAATATTACTGTGAGTTTTAGCTCTTTAACCCGTTGGAATAGTGTGTTATAGTAAAAATACCCAAAACTCGAATTTTACTAAATCAACCGTAGCTCGAGAAGGAAGCCGTGACTTCATCTGATGTTCGGAATATAATTTATCTTACAGCCGAAAACGTTTTGAATAAAAAATTCAGAATCTAGAACAACTTTTCGGCTGTAAGATGAATTGTATTCCGAACGTCAGTTGAAATAAACGCATATTATGAGAAGAATGATGAAAACAGTCAAATGAAAGGTTTGTTAATTACATGTGTTATTTCTAAGATAGTATTGAAAAGTGTTATTTATAAAATTCTTATTGTATTGTGCAGTCAATCAATCAATTTCATCTTAACATGAATGTGTCTAGGCTGTTCCAAAAAAAGAAAAAATTTAATGTATGTAACACCGATGTACAGAAAAAGAAAAGAGAAAGAAGAACGAACTTTTACACATGAGGAAAAGTACTTTAATACACTGAATTATATGCTCAAAAACAACCTCAGCCTTCGCCTAAATGCTCCTTTGGTAAATCAGGATATCAAGGTAATTCTGTAATTATAGCGGCAATGGTTGAACACTTGAGAAATAACAATGAATGCTTTAAATAATTAATTAAAACATTTGGGTAGAGCAAAGAAAGATTCATGACTTAAAATGTATTATATGAATGGTTGTGCATTTAGAACAGTAATGTTTGTTTTGTAATTTTGTTTTATCGATTTAATTAAAAACAAACACGATGTTGGAAAAAACCCGTTTCTCTTATCAACACTGAAGTGCAATGTTTTTTTCGGTTATTTATAGCAAATAATAGAAAGAGTAATTACTCATACAACGCAATACGAGCATGAAGAAAAGAAAAAAATTGTTTCTTTCATTCTGTTCTTCCTTTGTGCAAAACATCTTCCGATGTAAAGAGCTCTTACGAGGGAAGGCCCTCAACTGTCCCACCGCTTTTGAGACGAAGCTTAGTAAACAATAGATAATCGAGGGCGTTGATTCCGAATATCACAATGGTTTTTGCGTATGGGCCCCTGGAAACCCCAGTTTTTCAAAAACCAGGTTTCCAGAAACTCTAAAAGATAACTAAAACGTTTCTCATTGAGGTATGGTTGTAGCCCGCACATTTCTGATTAAAATGAGACATCTCTCAGCTCTACACGACCTTTTTTTGCAAACTTATAGAATTTACTAAAAAAGCCCTAAATGTTCATTGTCCGCTCAAAGCTATAGAAATAAGACGAAATCAATTTAGGGCTTTTCTTGTACATTCTATAACTTTGCAAAGAAAGGCCGTGTAGAGCTGGGAGATGTCTCATTTTAATCAGACATCTACGGGCTACAATCATGCAACATCAAGAAACGTTTTGGTTATTCTTTTAGACTTTCTAGAAAAACTGGGCTCGCCAGAGGCCCATACGCAAAAGCCATTGTGATATTCGGAATCAGCACCCTCGATTACCTATTGTCCACTAAGTTTTGTCTCAAAAGCAGTGAGACAGCTGGGGGCCGTCCCTCGTTAGACTGTCTGAGCTTTAAATAGAAGAGAAATTAAATGTTATTCTTTTAAAAGAGTAAGTCTTTTACATATTCATCAATGCTAACATATGGGTAAACAATAATGAGTCATTAACGACTAATTCGTTTTTTAAGATTAACTGACTGACTGAGTAAGATTTGCGACACTAGACACTCAATTAGTCTCATAAAAACATACAGAAAACGCTAGTTCGATAGTCAAAAAAAGAAAATGAGTGGTATGAATCGAAAATTTGATTATCACATAATCAATTTAGAATCAAGTACAGAAGTATTCGGTTAAAAAGAAAAGAAAAGTCGCATAGGACTTCTGTGGGCCTTATTATAACGCTCCTAACTGTGGAGTGTAATTATTTGGAACCGTAGTTATCGGCGAGGACAGTGGTCCATATTTCGTGATACGCATTCTTACGTTGCAAAGATTTCTTTACGGCAAACATTTTTATTCAGAGAAAAATGAAATTTTCAATCGAGTTTAGGACTTTCACATCAGCCATTTTATAGAACATATCAACTTATGTATGTCAAGCTATTTTTATAACTATTCGATTGGTTTTAACTAAGTTTTAAATTTTTCAAACACTAAGAGTATTACCATGCACGTATATGTGTATGCTTTTAAGCAATACTTGAACTAAAAGTTTTTTTGATTCAATCAAAACTAATCGAATAGTTATAAAAGTAGCTTGATATGTGTAACTTGATATGCTCTATAAAATGGCTGACGTGAAAATCCGAAATTCGATTGAAAAATTTCATGGTCTGGTGGTCTAGAAGCCTCACTTGGTTTTGCAGCAGATTTTAAAAGATTCCAAAAATCCCATCATGGCTCATGATAGTACACTTGGTGTACTCCAACAATATCGTAGGGGGGCAAGAAATTCGGCCGATTTTCCGAGAGAAAGTCTCCAAAATTTCTCCAAAATGATCGATGATTTGGGCTCTCACGGGATCATCTACAGTAAAAGAACGAAAGCGTGTGTGAAGCGGTTGTATGATTTGTAGTAGACACTATCTAGTAGTTATGATAGAATTCTTAAGTCTAAGTAATGTGTGATTACGGAGTTGTACGTAGTTGACAGTTTCCTTAGATGCCGGAATTTGTGCGTTTTCGGACTCTTTGCAAAAATTGAATATTTCGGCAACACAACAACCTTAGGATCTGTGGTTTTCGCCAAAACTTATGAAAATGATTGCTCTAAAGAAGCCCTTACTGTGGAAGAAATCCCAGATGGGCGATTGAGCACGTCAGATCGTGGCTTATCTTTAATGGCTCTTAATGAGGCTGAATTAATGAAGGGTAATTAAACGGATAAAAAATAATATTTTGTGAAACCCTCTCCACTATATTTCGCACATCACTTATATAAGCAGACAGTAAAAATAAAGCTCAGCCTCTCTTCGACTCGACCAAGTAACTCTTTTACCGCAATGTATTAGCTTCGACAAAAAGGGAAGAAGAAATAGTCCATAATAATAATAAGCGATCACCTACTGAGACCATATGAAGTTTGCAGTTCATTATACAATGAGGTATATATTCGATCGGTATTCCATAGAAAATGTTGAAGAAAAGAGCACGATAATGACCTGCGTTCTCTCTTCCACATACGAAATGAGACATTTTTCTTCTCGTTCTATATGCACCCACATCATTGTGCACGCATATATAAATAGTAGTCAAGGCTACATTAAATATTATATTCAGCAAGGTCATTCAGTTATAAAATAAATGATAGAAAGCAAATTACAACACATGCTATCAGAAAGATTTGAATTATAACTGAGAAAATGAAATAGATTACATTCTT